TCTTTTTTATATACGTACCTTATATAGTTTATAGGACAATAAAATATATTAAATATGTTTACCATTTTGCGTTTATTTCATTCTTTTTTAATTTAATTAGTTTTTGTTTATAATAAAAATATAATAGTAGTAGGACTACCAGCCTAAATCTATATATATAAAGGAAGATGTCCTGACTGACTGACTCACTCACTCACTGCCCTCACTCACTCATCAACGCCCAGCCCAAACCCCTGAATCGAATTTTTACCAAAAGTATATGAAATAGGGGTAGAATTTTCCAGGGAGTGCCACTATGTGTACAGTTTTTTGTTACCGATTTTCTGGAAACCGATTTTTTTAATTTTTCCTATTTTTCGAAAAATAATTGATCAAATCTCAACAAATTATAGATCAAACAGGGGTTGAATTTCCCGGGGAGTGCTATCAAGTATATAATTTTTCGTTACCGATCTTTTTGAAAACCGGTATCAGAAGTTTGACGAATTTTTTGGGAAATAATTAATCGATTTTTAAAGAATTGTATTTAGAGAGAGAGAGAGAGAGAGAGAGAGAGAGAGAGAGAGAAAGAAAGAGAGAGAGAGAGAGAGAAAGAAAGAGAGAGAGAGAGAGGGAGAGAGAGAGAGAGAGAGAGAGAGAGAGAGAGAGGGAGAGAATGAATGAATGAATGAATTGATCTTTATTAGCCTTCTCGGCTATTTTTTTCAACACATAATCTTACAATAATTCCTCTACATGAGGTATAATATATACTTTTAACTTCCGCTTAAATTGTTCGATCCTCTCGCATTGCCTTATATCAAATGGTAGGGCGTTATACATATTTAGACCTTCATAGAATAGACTCTTTTGTCCGCCCCTCGTTCTACGAAACCGCACCACAATATTCTCAGCCTGTCTTGTTTGTCTGTTACTCACATCACCTACAATTTCTATTTTGTTTCCTAATTGTCTAGGCATTATTCCTCTTATTATTTTAAAAATAAAAATACATACATTATATAATAATCTCTGTTTTATATTCATAAACTGGAGTGCTTGCAGCATCAGGTCTACCTTGGTACGTCGATCACATTGAAGTATAACCCTCATAGCTCGATTTTGCGCAACTTGTAGCCTATTCAGTAATGTGTCACCCATACCAATTAATAACGTTGCACAATACTCAAAGTGAGGTGCTATGATAGACTTATACACAGTACATCGAGTGTACGCCGATATATCATTTCCTATTCTGTTCAGAAAACTCACTTTTTTCCCTATTTTCTTTAACATATAATCACAGTGATTCTCCCAACGGAGTTTACTATCGATCATTACACCCAGATGTTTCGCTATCTCGACACGCTCAATTATAGTTCCATTCAAACTTTTTACTATTATGTCTGTTTTTATTTCTTTCCTTATACTTCTAACTATCATATATTTGGTCTTATCTGCATTCATTTTTAACATATTCACATTCATCCATTCTTCAAGTATACCGAGCACCATATTTAGTTTTATTTCTATTTCCTCACAACTTTCTCCTGTTACACTTGCGGTCGTGTCATCTGCAAATAATCTAAATATACTTCCCTCCGGACAGACTTTAACTATATCATTTATATACAAAATAAACAATAGAGGTCCTAGTACTGATCCCTGTGGCACGCCATATACTGTCTCAATTATTTTAGAACACATATCATTGAATTTAACTTGCTGCTTTCTATTACTTAAATATGATCTTATCCATTCCAGTACCACTCCTCTTATTCCATACTGATATAATTTTTCCACTAATCTTACCCTATCTATTGTCTCAAACGCTCTCCTGAGATCCAGGAATAACACCCCTACCATTTTTTTCTCCTCAATTATCAACTTCCATTCTTCGATAAAACTTTGAATTGCTGTCTCACACGACTGCTGTTTCCTAAATCCCGATTGGTATTCGGTTATTATTTCATTGTCATCTAGAAATTTTTCCAACTGTTTTTTTACAACTAACTCTAATACTTTTTCATATATCGGTAACATATTAATCGGTCTATACTCGCTCGCTTTTTTTGGTTTGTTTACCTTTGGTATCGGTATTATCGTGGATGTTTTCCATCCTTCTGGAAATTTACCTGTCCTAAGCGAATCATTTATTACTCCTACAAACTCATCTTTTATCACATGTAGCACCATTTTCAGTATATCACTACTTATCCCTTCCTCTGTTCCGTTCTTTCGTGGTAGTTCCCTAACAATTTGTTCCAAATCACTTGCACTAATTGGCTCAAAATTTTCCATAATTCCCTTATTCTCAATTACATAAATAGGTCTCCTACCCGTGCCTTCTATCCCCTTTTTACTAATAGATTGCACAATGTTGCTAATACTTTTTACATAATATATATTAAATTTATCAGCTATATTGCATTCTTCTATGTCTTCTAATATTTCAAAATCTACATTATCGATGTTCTCTGAACCCCTTTGCTCACCTTTAATTAATTCTTTTAAAGTTTTCCACATTTTTGTAGGATCACTCCTATTATTATCAATCATATTCTCATAGTATTCTTTCTTTTTTGCCCTGATAAGTTTAACTACTGCATTTCTTTCATTTCTGAAAATTTCCCAGTCCTGTTCTTTACCTGAGTTTATTGCTCTACTGTGAGCCTCATCCCTTTTATCTGCTGCCATTCTAATTACATCTGAATACCACATTTTCCCTTCCCATATTTTCGGAATCTTAAACTTTTTCTTAGGTGCTACAGTATCCAATACACTTACTATACTATTGACAAATCTCTCCGCCCTTATGCTTATATCTAGCCCTTGACCTTGCTCAGTTCTTTCTTCCATTATTCTAAGAAATTCATCTACATTAAATTTACTATAGTCCCTGCCTCTAAATTCTTTATATTTATTTCTATTTTCATTTATATTAAATTCTACTTTTAGCCATGTATGGTCCGTGATTTTAGGTTTCTCATTCACTTGTACCTTTATTTCTTTATTCGAAAAAATTAAGTCTATCATCGTTCGACTATCTTTTGTAACTCTCGTTGGTCTATCAACGTATTGCCTCATCCCTAGGTTTTGCATTACCGTTAATAATTTCTTTGTGTAAAATGAATCTACCATTACATCTATATTAAAGTCCCCTATCACTATACAGTCATACTTTATTATTAAATCTTCAACCGTATCTTCCAAAAATCTCACGAAATCGCCATCTGACGCACTCGGCGAATGATACACTACTGCTATCATACCTTTATACAAATTCTCTCTTATTTCTACCACCACGCACCAACAATTTGACACTATCTTTTTCTTATCAACTATTTTAAATTTAATATCATCCCTAACATATAGCAGTACTCCTCCTGTGTTTCTATTTTCAGCATCACATCTAACTATACTATACCCCGGTACATTGACCTCACTATCCTCAATTTCTACAATCAATCTAGTCTCGGATAACGCTAGAATCACAGGATTCACCCTCTTCATAATCTGATGTTGAATTTCGTCCTTATGCGCCAAGAAGCTTTGTGCATTCGTATACCAGAGTAATTCCGCTTCTCCCTGTGGTTGCTATTTTGCATCTTCCCAGCCGGCTCTTTTTTTCTCTTCCTCCAATACTTTCTTAAAAGTCGGACATTCCGAATCTAGCGCCTCGTGTTCAACATTTATCTTCAAGTTGTACGTCTGATTTTTATAAGTACAGTTTACACACCTCTTCTTTGCCGTCGTACATTCATTCGCCTTATGATTTCCTGCACATTTATAGCATGTTTCTTGTCTCGTGCAATTCTTGGCAATATGGTAATAGCCCCAGCATTTAAAACATCTTCTAACACTAATATAATTAAATATAGGACACTTTCGCCATCCTAAATTTATTTTTCCTCTGTTTATTAGTGAATTATGAGTGCTTTCATCCACTTCAATTATTACGGATCCTTGCTCAGTATCCTTACTTTTTCCTCTTAATATTTTCTTCACTAGGTGCATACAGGATTCTTCGCCAATTCTGTTCTGCTTCTTGATTGTATCTATCAGTTCATCATCCTCCATTTTCATTTCTTCTCCACCAACATTAATTATTTTAATCTTTGGTTTCCTCTTCTGTGGCTCAGAGACTTTGACCTCCTCGCCCATTGCCGCGAGAAAGAGAGAGAGAGGGAGAGAGAGAGAGAGAGAGAGAGAGAGAGAGAGAGGGAGAGGGAAGGAGAGAGAGGGAGAGAGAGGGAGAAAGAGAGAGAGAGAGAGAGAGGGAGAGAGAGGGGGAGAGGGAGAGAGAGGGGGAGAGGGGGAGAGGGGGAGAGAGGGGGAGAGAGAGAGAGAGAGAAAGAGAAGAGAAAGCGCACATTTATTATTCAGCGCCCTGGGATACAATCCCCTCAGGCGAGAGGGGAGTATATAGTACATATGTATATTTAAAAAACTATATATAGTACATATGTATATTTAAAAAACTAATTTAGTCTTTATTTGTATCTATTAACTTTTTAAATGCATATTTTGGTAATCTGCTAAAAGTTAGTAAATCAGCGACGAATAATTTAATTCTGTTTCTTCTTTCCTCACCTTTTATTTTACTGTATGTTTCGATCTCTACCACATGGTCAGAGAGAACGCGTTCTATGTCCATTATAAAAAACTTAAGGGCCGGAACACAATGCAAAGGTACAGGCAAGAGGAATAGGGAATATAGGAACAGAATGCATTGATACATGGCTTCCGATAGGTTGAAAATGTACATTCTGTTGTTATTCCCTATTCCTATTACCTGTACTTTTGTATTGTGTTCCGGCCTTAACTGGTCCATGGTGATATACATATATAATCCATGGTTATGTAGTCCATGGTTATATAGGAAGCTTTTCAGCAAGCGACACAAGTCGACACAAAGCATCGTTCTATCTTTCTTTTTTGGTAATGAGTAACAAAGATAAAACGATATTTGTGTCGACTTGTGTCGCTTGTTAGAAAGCTCCCATAGTCAAGAAGGGCAGTCTCAGTACATGGTTATATAGAGTCAAAGGCCCGGAGCGCACCAACAGCTGCCGCATGTTCCAACATCTCTTTTTTTTCATGATTTTTTTTATTTTATACGAAAAAAATCAAACTTGTTTTACTGATAAACAGTAAGTAGTATAAAAATCGATAGAAATTAGTTCTATTGATTATTTTTTTGTTTTTAAGTTCAATTTTCAGAACAATTTAAATTTTGCAATATCTTTTTTTTTTATGCTCCTGATGCACGTGTGCTCTGTGTTCTTCTCTATCACGTGGTGGTAGAGGAACATTAAACTATTAAACCCATCACGTGCTCGCGTCTCAGGTTTGCAAAGAAGCATTTTTCTATTAAAAGAAATGTTAAAAACTGTTTTTTCTTTAAAATATTCAATTATATATGCACATACTGTTAAAATTAAATTAAAAAGAAGTACACAAAACACGTGCTTGAGATATTTTATATTTTACAAAGAACTATTTTATTATTTTAAAAAATTTGAAAAACTATTTTTAATTGTAATAATAATAATAATAATAATATATATGTTTAATTATTTAATAATAACATATATGTTATTAAAATTTATATTTTATCTGCAAACAGGAGCACGCTATAATCTAACCTCAAATTCTCTTGCTTCCTCGCAGAGAAAGCTGTTTTCATAATCGTATATAGACCTTTGATCGCATATAAAGCTAGATCTAATCAACCAAGTTTTTTAGTTTTTAATGCCAATGTGTTCAGAATGTTCTAAAACGTCGGACAATCGCATGAAAAAGAAATGTCCGTATGTATGTGTGTGTGTGTGTGTACGGATTTATCTATAACTCAAGAACTAATCAACCAAATATTAAAGAATTATGTATATAGAAGTAGAAAATGTAAATATTTTAATTGGAATAAATTTTGAATTGTTTTAATTCGTTTTCGTCTAACGGTAACTTGTTAATCAATTTTAAATTTTCAGCTCAGAGTAAGACAGACTTAAATTTATATTTAGTCTCTCACGATACTTCATATAGACGAGACGCTAATCAAGATTTCTTTTCTTTTTTCTTTCACGTGATATAACCATCGATTATCGCAAATCGTTTGAAGAGGCGCTACAACGTCACTCTCCAAAATGGATATTTTAAGACCTACTAAAGATTCACATTCTTTTGCGATACCAGGTATGTGAATTTTTTAATTAGCTGCATAAGCATAATAAAAATACTTAAATTTACTTATTTACTTTTTAATTTCTTAAAAAAAATACAATAAAATAAGGTGCGGAATTCATAGATGTTTGAAATCAAAACAGATACTCAACTCTATAGTAACGTATAGTTTTCAAAATTATATTATTACCTTACAGTTTTTATTTGCTGATAATTACATTTAATAAACATTTTGTGCATCTTCTTAAATGTATAAAATATATTGTATCTAACATAACGGTCTGAAAATTGCTTGCATTTAATATATTACACGCAATTATCACAATAATTTTAATTACAATACATTATCCTTCGTCGTGTGTATTTACTTGTTACATTTATATATCATTATTTATTACTTATATTTTTTTTATTTTCCTAATTATAAGAATTGGCACGTGTAACCGATATCCATTTAGAATTGATTGTGGACTTTAAACGAAGAGTTCTTAAAGGAAAAGTGATTTTGACAATAACAAGGCTACCTTCAATTAATCAGATTGTGAGTGAAAATTTCCTTTTATATTAAGTAAAAATTTTGATTGCAGATTATTAATATGTAATATCGAATAATTAGATTTTAGATAACCTCGGACTTGTTATATCAAGTGTCACTAACGTGCTTGACGGAACACTTTTACATCATCATCATGTTGTAACTAATTCTGCCTTTGGAAGTCCATTTTGCGTAGATTTACCACCAACTATCGGCACTACTTATAACCCTGAGTAAATATATAAGATATTTTTAGAGAAATATATTTACTAAAAGTTATTGATGTAAGAATTAAATACCAATACGATACTTTCAGATGTAAAATTCAAATTGAATATGAAACAAGTCCAAACTCTCCTGCATTATACTGGCTAACAGCCGCGCAAACTGGCGATGGTAAACATCCCTTTTTACTGTCTAACAACAAGGTAAACTAATCAAACAAATATATTCTTCTATATAAATGTAGAGTGTATAAAAATCTGTATTCTTTCAGCTAATATATGCTAGATCATGGTTTCCTTGTCAGGACACCCCGTCTGTCAAATTTACGTACTCGGCTAAGGTAAGAATTTAAACACAATTGTGGTATTTTATATGCTTCCAGCATTTATTTATTTACATAAAATTGATGACATTTGATTGATTATTATTGACATTATTAATAAAAGTAATAAAATTGCGAAGAGATAGAGACTGCATTAGTAAAAAAAAAAACTAAATGTTTTTGAACACAAATGCTTATATTTTCTTAGAAACTGCTTCAGTAAAACTAAAATAAAATATTTATTTAATTTTTATATTTGTATGTTTTATTTTTTAGATTTTGGTACCAAAAAATTTTTCAGTTTTAATGTCCGCACTTTCGCATAATAATGTAGATCGCGAGGATCCGCAGCTAGACCAATATGAATTCCGTCAACATTTACCTGTATCATCTTGTGCGGTGATTATTGCTGTGGGTTTATTACAAACGAAAAAACTTAATGAAAGAATGAATATATTTGCCGAAGAAAACATTTTTAAGACCAATTATATCAAAATTTTTCGTTACACTGCAATTGAAAAGATGTTGCAAATTGCCAAAAGATTGTGTGGTTCTTATATGTGGGGTAAAATATTGACTAGATTTTTCTATATTATTTATTTAAATTTAATTAAATTTAAATTTTTTTAAATTTTAAAAATTATTTTGATATGTTTATTTAAATTTATACAAATAATAAATTTTTGTTTTTGTGTATTATTACACTGCAAACCCAAGTGTATTAATTTTAGCTCTTCATACACATTTCTTGCCGTTTTAAATCATGCCATTTAACACGATTGAACATATTAATTTTTAATTATACACGATTATGCACGTTAAATGACGCAATTCAGCACATAAAGAAGTGTGGAAAAGAGCTTCAGTCAAATGTGTCATTTTTAGGGCCAGTTTCACCAAAGTCGATTAACTGTAACCTTCAATTAAACTCACTCTTTATCTCTTTCTAAGGGGGACAGAGAGTTAGAAAGAGAGGAAGAGTGAGTTTTTTATAATCGAAAGTTACAGCTAATCGACGTTGGTGAAACTAGCCCTTGGTCATTTCGATCTGTGTAAAAATAACACACTTGGATTTGCAGTGCAATCTTTCTTTTATGTTTTCTTGTTATTACGTTTAAAATAATATCTCCAGGTAGATACGATATATGCGTGCTTCCACCAAGTATCGCTCATTTCGAAATAGAATGTCCATGTGTGACATTTATTTCACCGCTTCTACTTCACGGAGATCGTTCTTATGTCGGTGATTCGCTTGCTCGGAACATCTCACAGAGCTGGGCAGGAAATTTAGTTTCGTGTTCGAATTATGAACATCTGTGGTTAAATAAGAGTTTCAGCCTTTTTATTTCCAGAAAAATTGGACGCAGTGTTTTATATCATAAAGGTATAGATGTTTATCTTCAAAGGGAAGGATTAAAGAACCTGAATAGTTTGGTAAGATTAATGTCTTAGTTAATACTTTGACTATAGGTAACAAAATAAAGTATAATAAAAAATGTTATTAATTGACAATATTTTACATTGTATATGCATCATAAACACACACCTAATTCCTAAATTCTTACTAAATTATTTTCTGAAACTGCATTGTGTAAATTGTATTGTAGGTCCAAGAACCCAAAAATGTCAACAAGCTAAGATGCTTATTACCCAATTTGGAATATTTGTCACCTGATATACTCACTAAATATGTGCCTTACGAAAGAGGATATTTTCTCTTATGTCATCTAGAGAATATGTTAGGAGGACCCACAGTATTCGAACTATTTCTTCAATCTTATTTTGATAATTTTGCATTTAGAAGTATTAATACTGCAGATTGGTTAAACTACTTACGTCAAAAATTTCCTGACAAAGTAAAGGTAGCATTCTTTTTATACATACAAACTATGGTTTTATCACTATTCATATGTTTAACATTAAAAATAATGACTTTTTTGTTGATTTCAGATGTTAGAAGATGTTGAATGGCACTTGTGGTTCGGTAACATTTTTTTCACACCTATTATGCCGGAATTGTCGGAAATGTCCGCATGGGAAAACAAGTGTTTTATATTAGCTAAAAAATGGATTAATTGGGATATTCGGCGTGTCCATGATATACCACCTTTTATGACAGCAGACGAGAGGAACCTCTGTAACATTGAGAAAATATTGTTATTAAACAATCTACATTCTTCTCATCAAAGTCTGACCACAGTAAAACTGTATTCTTTAAACAATTGTTTCTTTTGCGGTATCCAAAATGGTGGTGAAATACGGTAAATATGCATATCCTCTCATTCAAATTGATTCGCAATTGTTTAACTTAAAGCGCATATATTTTGCAGGTTTTCTTGGCTGCTATTGTGCATCAAAGTTCAATGGGATAAAAAAGTTGAATCAGCGTTGAACTTTGCCGTTAAATATTGTTCGCCAAATTATGCATATCCTATATTTAAATCTCTGTGCAAATGGCGAGAAATGCGTCTACTAATGATCGGACAGTATTATCAAAATAAAGAAAAGATATTAAATGAAACCCAGGAGAAATTAAATAAAATTTTATAGTCTTTATTTTTGTAACAATTAGCATGATTTTGTTTTTAATGGGTAAGTCATATATATAGTTTTTAATGGCTGGTTAGTAACTATAATATAAAATAAATAATTAAAGAAAGATGGAGCGTGAAGCCGTAACAAGGTGTTGGTGTTCATATATTCTATACTTACGTATAAAGAAATAACGAATTGTAATGTACATATCGTACATATACATATATTCCAATTTAATAAACTGCGCGCCGCAAATTTGTCGGACTTGAAACACAGCTATCTTTTGGCACATTAATACCTTTCCCTACCCCGGAATTAAATCTACACGATTTAATTGTTTAAAAAACGTAAATAATTTATTGCGAAAAGTATTACCTCAGCCAGGATCTGGCTAAAACGTCCTAACTAAAATTAATTTAGTTAGGAAATTAGTTTTTTTGTTCTAATGCTTAAAAGACGGCTGTAACATGTATTCGTCGATTTTTCTGATAATTTTATTAAAAAATGATATTTGTTGGATTTCAATTATTGCTAATAAAATATTTGCGAATTTATTCGATTTGTAGTGGATTTGTGCGCTAGAATTGAATATATTACAATATGAGAGTAAATAAAAAAATAAATTTTTTTTTAACCATAAAATTACATTTAATACATTAAAAAACATAGAGAGTAAATTAAAGCTTAGATTTGAAACAACGTTAAAAAGTAATATATAATATATTTGTGTATACGAATGATGAAAAGAAATTATGTATAATATGCATTATATCAAAATTATATAGTAATGTGTATGTGGAAAGCCATGGCATAATAAGCAATATATATTTTGTTTACATATAAGAACAACGATAAGACTAGAAATAAAGTTCACTCTTGAAAAATGTTCAAAATATTTAAACACATAAATGCGTGTATGTGCGTACGTGTGAATGTATACGTACAATTTAAAACAACTTGTCTTTCGAAGCGCGGATTCAGCTCTCGGCGGGTCTGGTTTCGAACCCTGGCGGAAATATTTCTACAAAATTTAAAAAACTATAAAATATAATTGCCAGAATCTATTAAATTCTACATGAATTTAAGAAGTACTACAAAATCCTACATGAAAATGCTAGACTTGGAACACTTTTGTAAATTTTTGTAGTATTCTACAAGTAAACAGATGTTTTAATTTTTAAGATTTTGTTTCTTCTTAAATTTTTAAAATTTGTAGATTTTTGTACTATTTTTTATAAATTGAAGTTTTTCATAAAATACTACTTGCAATAATTTCTTGATTTGAGAATATTGTAATTTGTGGTACTATTTCGTAAATATTTCTACAAAAAAATAACCATTTCTACAAAAAAATAAATATTTCAACAAAAATGTACAAATTTCTATTTCTAGTTAAATTTTGTAGTTATTTATAGAAATTTTTTCCGCCAGGGAAGAAGGCGCGGAAGAACAGACACGGAGTTCAGAATTGTAAAAAAAAGTATATTATAGAGTAATAACAGGGGGTTTATTATAAAGTAACAAGTACTCGCAATGTACAGTTTCGTGATGCACGCGTAGATACAAGAAAGGAAGTTTATTATAAAATAATAAATGTTCGCAATGCACAGTGTCGAGATGCACGTGTATTTACAAGAAACGAGCCGACACGGTATACGTACAAGAAGCGGCGCACGTGTGTATAATTCTCGCGGGATGGTATACTAGCGGCCGGGTACGCTTTACGGAGCGATCGCGACGGACGATTGATTCGTCGCGGACGGCACGAAGTAAATACTAATATGATTGGCCTATTAGTTCGGCGCGTACAAGGCGGAGCCGGTTTTTCGGGCGTTCGCGGGCCGAATCGCGTGACAATCTGCCGGTTCGGGCGGAGCTGGTTTTCCCGGTGTCGCGGATCGGAGCGCGTGAAAATGGCGCGAAGCGCGGACGCGGAGATGAGATTGCGCGAGATTTCGTCAGGCCGGTGGAACCGGGAAATCCGCCGAGACGCACTCGACGGAGGTAGAGAACGGAATCTCTACCTCGGCGAAAGAATGGATTCGGATCAAGCCAGCCACCGAGAAGCACTCGATAGATCGGCAGAGAACGGATCCTCTACCCCGGCGGTAAGCTTACTCGTATCGTATGGATCGATCGGAAACGTGGAATCCGCCGAGACGGAGACAGAGAAGTAAGTTTCTCTACCCCGGCTTGATAGCTGTGGAGATGACTTGGAAATCAGTCGATCGTCGAGACGCACTCGACGGAGACAGAGAAGCAGGATTTCTCTATTATACCCCCG